CTTTGCCTCCCCGGGGGAGCAGCAGCGCGCCGAGGCGGTCCGGCTGCGTGGTGTGTGCTGCCAGCTCCCCCTCCCCGCTTTGCAGCCAGTGCGATGCTCTGTCCCCGGGAGCAGGGGGAGGCCAAGCCCCTAGCGCCTGCTTGAGGGATCTGCGTATCCCCTGCCAGTCTGGTGCTTTCCTGAGGCCACAGTGGAGCCGCACTTTAGCCAGCGCCACTGGCGCGCTTTACCCGCCCTGCTGTTTGCCAGATTGGGGGCTGAATCGGGGCTATGCGAGAAGAGGCTGCGCAGGCTTCATCCCGCTGGGCCGAAGGGAGCGGTTGGCAGTCTGTAATAGACAGAGGTGTGTGGGCGCTACCAACTTTCTGGTAGGGCTCGTCAGCATTTCTCAAGGAAGCCCAGCTGTGTAGTAATGTAACCAGAAAATACAGGGACAATAGAGCTGGGCCAGTTCATAGATAATTGTAGGATGGATGGAGAGGAGGGGGTAACAGAAGCTGGGCTGAGGCTGCTTGAAATATTTTGTTTCCTTGTATAAAAATGTGCCCATTTGATACTCAGTGCCCTATAACTGAGCCTAGTCTCCTAAATAAGGAGATGGGACAAATGGTGGGTTGGAACAAAGCCTCCATATCTCAGCTGCTCCAACACCCTTACTGTCCCTGCCACTGGGTGGAGCCTGACCTTTACTGCCTGCTTTCCACTACTAACCTCTTGCTGCCTAATTCTGGCTACCTCCAGGGATGTAAATACCCATTAAAACAGTTAACCAGTTAAACGATTAAAAATATATTGTTTAACCAGTTAACCATTGGAAGGCTGGTGCAGAGCGGCTGGGGGCTTGCCAGGACTGCGGTCCTACTGCCTCTGTGGTGCAGGAACCCCATCTGCCAGGCATTGCAGGGGCTCCTCCAGCGCAACCCTCTGTGGGTGGGGTTGCTCCAGCCTGGCCCCGCTCTAGGCAGGGTCCTGCCAGCCATGCCTGGGTGGAGGGCTGCTCCAGCTGGGCCACCCTGGGAGGGATGTGCGCTCCAGCCCAGCCACCGAGGGGTGGGAGCTGCTCCCAGCAGGCCAAGGCCTCCACTGGGGTTTGGACAGGTCCAGTTAACAGATTACAAGATAAGCATGCCTATAAGGTTAATGCTTACCAGTTCAGCTTTTACATCACTACATACCTCCTGTCCTTCCTTGGCCAGTTACTTAATATTACATTCTTGCTGAAATAATAAATTCTTTTCATACTCTTCTGTTGCCCTCTTCTCTTATAAACCTTCTCTGCTATACCATGGCCCATCTCTGTTGTCGTAAGGAACAGGATGGTGATTCTGAGGGAAGCAGCTGTTACTGTAGTTGCCATCCTAATAAAGAACTGCTCTTGAACCCAGCACCGTGGCCAGAATTGTGGGGAAGGGAGGTCAGAAATAGCTGCAGTCTGGATATTTCCACTTCTCTTCCAGCCAAGGCATGTAGGGACTTATTGGGTGCGTCTAGACTGGCAAGATTTTGCACAAAAGCAGCTGCTTTTGCACAAAATCTTGCCGCCTGTCTACACTGTCTGCGAGTATTTGCACAAGAACACTGACTTTGTACTGTACAAAATTAGTGGTTCTTGCACAAATACTCCGACGCTCTGCTCAGGGATAAGCCCTCTTGTGCAAGTATTCTTGCGCAAGAGGGCCAGTGTACACAGCCAAGTTAATTTCTTGCGCAAGAAAGCCCGATGGGTAAAATGGCCATCGGAGCTTTCTTGCGCAAGAGAGCGTCTACACTGGCACTGATGCTTTTGCGCAAAGGCACATGCCAGTATAGACGCCCTCTGGCGCAAAAACTTTTAACGGAAAAACTTTTCCGTTAAAAGTATTTGCGCAAAATCATGCCAGTCTAGACGCAGCCATTAAGTTATAAGCAGAGAGGCTATACAAGCAGGGAGGAACGCTTCTCACTTCTGGACTGGACAACCCACCAGAGAGATTCTGTACCAGTAGTTTGTGGTCTAGGGCATAAAGACTTTTGGTCCATACTTTCATGGGCTCTGGATCCATGGTAGTCCGAAGACTGCAAGATTGACTGCAGTGCCCTTTTAAACACGGAAGGTTAACACTATGTCGTAAGGACCGCTTGGAGGGATTTGGCAATAAAGTTGAGCACCTTCTTGGGCTATTTCACTCCTATCCCATCCTAATATCAGCTGTTTCAGTAACTGGCAGGGGGTACTACTGTGAGGGCTGGAAAGAAATTGGCGTGCACAACTGGTTTAGTTGCTCTCTGGGTGCCAGCCAGGACCTCAGCTGGGAAAGCTGTTAGCTGTTCTGTGTGTGTCTCTCACTTCTCCCTGCCCCTCTTCTCCCAAATGAAATATTTCAGTGTTAACAGTCTCTGATCCAAGTTGTTTTTGGATTGCATCTTCTTTACTTTGCCCCATTCTATTTTGCTACAGTATTTGGGATAGTTACTAGAGAAATGAGATCAAGTAATTTTCTTTCCTCACTATTTCACAAGATCCATTTCTTTCCCCACTGTAAAAACAAACACACAAGATTTGTAACACATTTGTCACTTCAGCCAAATGGCAAAAGGTGACAGAAAGGGCAGAGCTTGTCCAGGTTTTTCTGTTGGGAAGACTATGAAGCAATAACCATATCTTCCAAATTAAAGCATGGTTCCCTTGCAATTGGGCAGAAAGTGTATTTCAGAACTGCTCTTGCACATTTGGCAGAATAATTTGCAAAAATGCACATGCTTAGAGGCAAGCATTTAGAGACAAGTGCAACTGTAACTGTCACGGAAGGAGAGTAGGTGGGCTTTTATTGTTGTTTAATGAAAGTCATTTTAGTTTATCCCTCAAGACAGCTGTAAGTAAATATGGTTTGTTGTACACTTCTGCTAAAACATATTTCTATATACACAAGTTAGGTGTAGACTTTGCAAGCTTTTTCAGGTACCCTGAACAAATCTCAGATAGAAGGGACAGAATTAAAGAGAGTAGGGAGAAGAGTAATCTTCAAGTCACAGCTAGGGTAGCTTAGAGAAATTAGAATCATGAAGAGGGAAGGGAATGGACCTACTGTAACTCCTATAGTAGCCTGGATGTTGTGTTTCTATAGAACAGCTTTGTCCTCTGACCTGCACCTTCCTTTTTCGGTAGACAGGAACTACATTTAAAAAGAAAACCAGTCTTTCAGTACTTACAAAAGAAATATAGTAGCCATCTACCTCTCAGTATTTCCATTTAAATCCAGATGTAGATGATAGTGAAAGAAGTTAAAACTAAACTTAAGCTCTTGAGGAATTTCAGCATATATCTCAGAACCCTCCCATGTGAAAATCTGTTTTCAGAACAGAGGTGGGCAATAATTTTTTATGGGGGGCCACGCCAAGATTTTGGTAAGTGGTCAAGGGCCATGTTTTTCTATTGAGGGAGGTGCAGAGTCCTGGCCAGAAGTTGAGTGCAGGAGTTTGGAGTAGAGGACTGGGGTGCAGGAGAGGGTGTGGGGTCTTAGTGGGTGGAGGAAGTTGTGATCTGGGGTAGAGGCTTGGGGAGCAGGGTCTGGGGGGGGTATGGATGCAGGAGAGGATTCTGGCCTGGGGGAAGGCTGTAGGATAGGGTGCAGGGTCTTAGAGTTGTGACCCGAGGGAGGGGATGCAGAGGGTTTGGATGGTAACCTGGGGCAGGGAGTTGGGGGGGGGGGAGGCGGGGCTGAGGTGACAGAGGCACGCTGTGGCCAGGAGGTGCTTACTTAAGTGGCTTGCAGTCTTGCAGGACCCTGAGGCAAGCTCGTAGGGGTAGTGCTAGGAGGAGGAGGAGGAGGAGGAGGTGGCAGCTTCACATGCTGCCTCCACCCAAATCTCTCAGCTCCCATTGGTTGGTTTCCGTGAAGCCTCTCCCTTCCCCCTGGTGCCCAGAGCAGCCAGCCACTTAAAGCAGCCTGGAGCTACTCTGAAGTGGCTGGCTGCTCTGTGCCTGAAAGTCCCAGCAGGGCAGCCCGCAGGCTGGATCCAGTGGCTTGTTGGGCCAAATCTTGCCTGGCCCTGGGTCAGAAGCTGGACAAGTGTGGCCGTAGTGGAAGTTTAGTGTCTGCTCAGAGTTTATGTCCTGTCACTAGTATTCATTTCTAGCTCTTATGAATTCATACATTCACTCTACAAATTTAGGAAACCTTTTTTTTCAAAATTATTTCTCCATTTCATCTTCATAGCCCCTCCTTGAAAAGACAAATCAGCTCTGGATTTCTATGAAATCATTGCAATTCCACTTACAGTTGGATTGATATTTAGTTTAGTAGATTTAATTAAAGAGGGGGTGAAAGCATTAGTGTCACTGCCAGATGTGGAAGGAATCTAAGTTCTGGCAAAAAAAAAAAAAAGTCTAAAAACCCATCTCATTCTTTATTTCATGCAGCTTAGGGCTGGGAAATTCAGCAGGGTGGACTCTATGGCTGGACACGATAGCATTATGCGGTCATGCCAGCAGCATTGACATAGTGCCTAGCTGATATCCTTGGGGTCTTTAAATACAGCCTCAGCCATTCATTTCAGTTCATCAATTATCTTTTCTTCACAGACTGCAATAAGGAGCTGCTGGCCAAATAACTGGGATTTATGGAAGAAGAGAGGGAGAAAACAAAAGAGCCCACTTTGCCTGATCAGACTGTGCTTGTAGATTTAACATGAACACATACCTTTGTGTTGTTAGTAGCAGTTTGTATTAACTAGGGAAGTTAAAATGTGTTGTGCCTTTTTTTTTTGGTAAACATGTAACTACAAAATATCAGCAGTTACACATTTACACGTGGGGAGGGGGATGGAGACAGCTCCATGGGAGCTGGTATGTGTGGGGAGCCAACCCACCTCTCCTCTTCCCCCTGCCCTGGTGCCACTGTATCAGAGGCAACAGCAGGGGCAATGAGATGGGAGCCGGTGCTTGCGGTGACCCATGTACCATTTAAACATGTACAGTATCACATCCCTAGTGTTAATTTCTGTTGCCAGTTCCAAAAACTCCTTAGATGACTTGGTCACCCACTTTTCACCTTAACACATCACGATTTCAAGAATGAGTTGTTGTACATATATAGAAAAATACCTTGCACTTACAGCATTTTTCATCCAAAAGTCATAGAATCATTTATATAAAATCTCAACACTCCATAAAGTGATTATCTTCATTTTACAGATGAGAGGCCTAATCTGGTACAAGCACCCAAAGTAGGATTGTTCCATTGAGAGGAAGAAGTAAAATGGGATCCAAGTCAAGGCCACCCCTTGCCTGAATTCACATGTGCACACTGACTCACTTTGTGGGGAAACCCCCACCTACCCTGGGAACATCAGAACACCCCTGCCCTCCTTAGGGAAAAACTGCATGGAAGAATCAGCCAGTAGGGGCACTTGCAAAAGCAGAGACCTCCAGCATTCAGAGAATTTTCTATAGTTTTGACTGGACTTTTTCTACTCTGTGCTGAGTGGCTTGTTTTCTCCACCCTGCCCCTTCCTCAAAATCTCATCCAATTTTCAACCTGCATCTGCCCATCTCATCTTCTGCCTCTTGTACTTAGTTTATCCCTTCTTAACATACCCAAAGCCCCCCAAATCTTGGAACCAATATGCCTTTTGCTGCCATCACATGGTTGGTTGACTGCTTGTGTTCATCCATTACCCCCATCCTGTGTCTCTCTAGATTGAAAGCTCTTCAAAAGCAGGGACAGTGTTGCAGTGTATGCACAGTACCTAGCACAATGGTGCCATAACAAACATGACAAATAATAATGACTGAAGTTAACTGGTATTTTTCTGTTGACTTTAGTTGTAAAGATTAGAATTACATAAATAAATGAGTTCCAGTTCACTTCAAAATAGCATTAACTATTCCCTTCCTCTGCCGCCAAAGGAGTCATAATTGATGGAGAATTTCCATTGACCCATCTGAGTTCAGAAGTGACTGGAGGGAGAAAATATTAGTGTGTCTGTTATACTGGGTTATTATATACTGAGGAGTAACTGTTCACTGGTTACTCTCCTCTCCCCCTTTATTAGCATCAGTCTCTTTTTTAGAAACCATCTCCTTAAAAGTAAATACACACATTGCTCCAGCTCAGACCACTCCCAATAGTAAGACATGTTTAGGACCAAGAGAGCTTTGTTATTTCTGAGACAGTAATCCATTTCAAGGAGAACAATGTCTGCTGTTACTAATACAATGACTTTAGTGAGGCTCTGGTTTCAGCACAATTTCCTAATGAGTTTGGGGTCTATTTAAATAGTATGTTGTTTCAACTAGCTTGTTTTTTAGATGAAGTAATAAACATTTTTGCCTCAGAGCTGTCCTGTTCTTGATTTTAGAACCACACACACAAGATGCATGCATGTGCAATTTTGATGTCTGCTTTAGTTCAAATATTATCCATGTTAATGTGTGACAAAATGTGGAGAACAAACCATTTGTGTATTAGAGCTTGCTGCCAATATATTTATTGGAATTTGGTAACTAAACCTGTGATCTAGCAAGAGAGTACAACTTACTGTCCCTTGCCCAGCTAGCTATATCAAATACTTAATATCTATGGGTAACTGGAACCTGGTATGGAATTTACTGGGTTCATACATCCTCTTTTCAGTCAAGAAGTTGTTGTATTTTTAAGGGAAGGAAAAAGATCCCATATCTCTTCAAGTAAAGGAAGATGGATATATTGTCAGGCTCAATTAGATCCAATTGTGTTGGCTTTCTCTAAAGAGAACAATGCAGCTTTTGTGATTTAACTCCCAACAGAAAGGTTCATAGTTTTACAAAAATAATCCTACAGCCATCTAGGTGCTAGCCCTTTTCTCTGGTGTGCAGAGGAGAACCTAGTGAAACTCTGCCCTCCTAACAGGAAGTGGATTTTTTCTAAAGGGGGGAGGTGTCTGCAGCCTGAAAGAAGGCATTATGAATACTCTAGTTTCAGTCAAAAATACACCAAAATATACAAGCTAGACGGTCAGAACTTATTACAACTGGAGGCAGCCATAATCTCTTTGGTAGAGCTGTATTGTAGAGAGCTCATCTACCTGGTTGTAACTTGAGATAAGATGGCTAGGAGAGAATAGTTTGGATGAAACAAAGTAGCCTGCTACAGTACTAGAAGTACTTAAAATGCAAATGTACAGGAACTCTAGACCATCCCCCACCACCCCTCCTCTGCACGGAGGAAAGCAGCTTAAATACAGCCAGGCCTGGAGAGGAATGTTAAAAAGAAGGGAAGAATCGCCCTCCTCCTTTCCATAGGGACCCTCACATGGTGAGATTCAGTATGCATGACTGAACAAGCAAGCAAGGACAGCTCCTCTTTTAACTTTCCTGAACAATGGTTTCGCTCCTTCCATCATTTCACATTCTCTCTACCCCCAAACCTTCTTTAAAAAAAGGGGGGGGGGGAGTTGTACTGCAGTACTTCGAGGGGAGAAAAGCTTTGTTTCATGTCCTATAAACAGCTTAAGCCCCCATTTCAAACAACAATAAAAAAACCCTCAGATTCTTAAATGTTAAAAGTCATACATTAAAAAGAAAAATGTCTACGATACAAAAGGGCATCTTATATTTTTTTTAAATTTTAAAAATCCAACTTTCATCTCAGTGTGGACAACAGAAAAGTGAAACAGCGTTGTCAATTTTCTAGTTATTGGCTTCCAAGTTCTCATACACTAGCAAAATCCTGCAATTTTGAGTTACTAATATTTCAGGAAAAAAATTAACTGTGTGGAAAGAAAAAAAAAAAAGCCCAACAGTTTTCATAGTATTTACATGAAACAGAAACATTGCCATGTCTTTTGTTTTACAAACTGTTTTTTCCCTTAATGTGTTAAGTTTTATCTGCCACACATCACTTTACCCCTAAGTACCTTCATAACAAATTTTATCAATGGTGGTTTGCCCAACCCCAAAACAAACTTGGTACCCCCGCATCAATCTCTACTTTCTCTTGATTTATTTGAGCAAGTGAACTGTTCTCAGATACAATACTAGTCCTTCCAAAAGGAAGCAAAGCTCTCTTGTAAACTTCTAATTATGACATTACTCAACATCCTGCACAGGACTGACTAGACTCCCCATTTCCTTTTACTCAGACCAAGTCACTCACTAAAACAAGGGAACAGGCCAAACCCCCTAAGCTACACACTATGCTTCTTGTAACAAGTAGATAAAATACCTACCTTTAAAGAAAACAAAGACAACACAGATAAGCTTTTTTCAAAAACATACTTCATATTTCCTCTTTTATTATATAAATATCAGTTTAACCTTTTACTGTAAGAATATAAAATGTTTTAAGAGGATCTTTGTTATTTTTTTATACAAATTCACAAACAGTACAATTAATCCATAGGGGTCTCTGGGTTTACTTTAACTCCATGGTCTGGCCTGTTATGGAGGAGGATTTGAGTTTTTGAATTAAAAAAAAAAAAAGAAAAAGGCCAAGATTTTTTTTTAAAAAAAATTCACCACTTATTCTTCCTCTTTAAAATAATTAAAAAAAATCTAAAGAACCAGCTCCATTTTACTGACACAACAGAGATAAGACAGATGAATTTCAGTCTCCTCCCCTTCACATTGCAGCCTCAGGCCCTGCAGGCCTGTTCTGTTCCTCTCCCCACTTACAAACAAAAATTTTCACACAGTGACCTTTTTTTGTAGGTGATTAGGGAGGGAGAAGGAAATATTTGCATATTTTGTGTGTGTATATATATATATATTTATGAAACTGAACTTGCATTTCACACATTTCAATACCCCAATCCTCAGTATGGATTCTCACATGTTACACATGTTTGTGCTAGAGGAATAAAAATGCAGAAGCACAGTTGGATCCCCAAGTCCCAACAGAGAGGGAGGGAGAGGCACAGTCAGAATGAAGGTAGGGC